GGAAAAATGGGTACGCGAATTCATTTCTTTATTCTAATGCTCAATTTTGCATAATTTCTAATCATTTTGCATTTTTGCCGCAGTCATCGTCACATGATGACCAGCCTTGCTCCCAGTTCAAGGCATGTGTTCTGTCCAAAAAGGGCAAGGCGACGGCAAACATCAACTTCAATCCAGAGGACCCGCCCGAGGCGTACAGTGATCCTAGCATCCACAACCACGTCACTGAGTACACAGCGATGTCAAGGGAGGTTCATGGGTCAGAGTTTGATCCGAGCACCCAAGATCTTGATGGAGAAATCATGATGAGGGTGGGAGGAGGCAAGAAGCATGGGCCGGTACTGGATTGGCGACAGTACAATCGACATGACCTGTACTCCCACTCTCTCCCAGATCCGAGCAAGGAGCACGAGCTCAAGCCCAATGATACGCCCATGGCCAACAACTACATAGTTCTAGATGGAGGCTCTCTAGATTATTTCTATTTTATTCATCATTCATTGATTGTTACGTACTTTAGCTTTGCATTGTAACATTGGGATGAAATATTATAGGACTGGGTGGAAGCAGAAACAAAGCAATGGGAGGAGATGGAGGTGAGGATGGAGGAGATGATTCAGCAGAGGGTGGCTGCCGAGCGGCAGAACATGGAGGAAGAACAATGGCTGATGATGGAACATATGATTCAGCAAAGGATAGAGGCTGAGCGGTAGAGGATAGAGGAAGAAAATCGGTTGAGGATGGACCAAATGTTCCAATACATGTAGAATTTTGCATCGAGTATGGGTCAACCTTTGCCACCACCACCGATGCTATTCCCTCCACCTCAGCCACCCACAACTACTCCTATGAGTCATTTGACACCTTATACTGCAGATTGAATACTTTGACTTTGAGAACTTTATATGTTAGCTCAAAATGACTTAGAGAACTTTAGATGTTAGCACAAAATGACTTAGAGAACTTTAGAATGAATACTTTGCATGTTTTTGTGACTAGCTAGAGATGTAGAGTCGTGGGTAGTCTTGATGCTTTGTTTAGATAGGTTTTGGTCCATGAGTCAGCTGGATGATATTGGGCATGTGCATTTGCAATATTGCAACTAAACTCTTAAGATTAGCTTGGGCTCCATAGTTCTCTGTTTTGTGTAGAATTAAGTGCAATCTCCATGTGTTAAGGAACCTTAGATATTAAGTGCATCACATATAAATATCAATCTTGTCTCACACATGCAATCTCTTCTCTTTTGTGCAGAATCAATCAGCGGCATCAAATAATCAGCCTCAAGACCCATATTTGTCGTAGTGGTTCTAAGGGCCTCTGCAGTGATTGCATTTGCATTTGTGGCTTATTGTGACTTAGTTGTGACTTGTGATGATTGTTTATTATGCCTATGATGATGGTTTATTGTGAATTGTGATGATGGTTTCTTATGCTTGTGACATATAATTATGCCTGTGATGATGGTTTATTGTGAATTGTGATGGTTTATTGTGAATTGAGAGAGGTCCATTATACATGATAGATTAGTAAAAAAGGGGGGTATTGGTCGCTTTGCTGAGTGTAACACTCGGCAAAGAGAGGCGTTGTCAAGTGTCAAGCCAAAACACTCGGCGAAGAGGCCAATTTCTGTTATTCTGGGAACCTTCTTTGTCGAGTGTTTTGGCTTTACCGAGTGTATTCTAATTGACACTCGGCAAAGTGACCATAAAATCTGGCCATTGCGCACTTGTTTGCCGAGTGTTTTGGGCGTGACACTCGGCAAAGTGTCTAAACTTTGCCGAGTGTTTTGGCCTTGACACTCGGCAAAGTTTAGAAACTTTGCCGAGTGCTTTTCCATCGTGCACTCGGCAAAAGCACCGTCACCGTGCCATCCTATTAACTTTTTTTGCCGAGAGTTTATTTTTGCCGAGTGTTTATTGACACTCGGCAAAAGGCTTTGCCGAGTGCCCGATGATTGACACTCGGCAAAGAGCTCTTTGCTATTAAAATGTACGACGTGTGCTCTTTGCCGAGTGTTACACTCAGCAAAGCCTTTGCCGAGTGTTTTTGGGGCTTTGTCGAGTGCCCATGGCAACTCGGCAAAGCTATTGTATCCCATAGTGAGTACTATGTGTCCGGTAGGTGATTGGACTACCCGCTAGCAGATAAATTGACCCTTGAGAGTGACGAAACGCTTAAACAAGTGATGAGAGAAGGAGGAGTTCAACTCAAGGCATCTTGCACTACACTCATACTTCCTCTGTGAGGAAAATGGTTGGGTAGTGATGACCCTCAACTAGGTCACACACTCGATAAGGAGTTAGATCGCTCGATGTAGAGCCTAGCCGATTTTCAGATCGGCCGGCGCCTAGGGTCCACACCTGGACCTTGTGCCTCCAGCGATGAGCGCAATACGCAACACATGTCACCGAAGGAGCCTCATCGGGAGCGCAATACGCAAGCCACGCCGGTGAGGTCTCTTGACACCTGAAACCCCACATGCCTAAGAGGGACCCCATCGGGGTGTGCAGCGGCTATGGGCTGCTCTAGCTGGCCGGACCACTCTAAAGCTTCGCCATCATCGATCCACCGTCCATGCAGCGCTGACGAAGAACGAGGAGTAGAGAGAAAGATAGGGTAAAAGAGAGGTAGTAGATTGGTTTTTTTATACGAATGTGTGTGTTGGGCACCTAAATCAGCCATGGACCTTATATTCATAAGGTGGGGTGGTCTTATCCCTCAAGGAGTCGAAACCTCTTCCAAATCACGTCAAAACGTGTTTAGATCTGTTCTGGACCTGACAAAGTCGGCTAAGCCGACACCCAACTTGGCTAGGCTGACTTCCATGGGCCTGGAGCACTGTTTTCGGGCTGAAAACAGCGAGAGTCGGCTTAGCCGACTAGGTGACTCGGCTAAGCCGAATGGCACTAGAAATTTCAGGTGAAAATCTTCCAAAATTCATAATTAATTTATTGGGACTCCAAATTAGGCGAACCATATACATTTTTCGATCTAATCGACGAGAGCGACACAATGATGAAGTCCATTCAAGCATCTGAGGAAGTTGGTCAAGTCGGCTGCCGACTTACGGAGTTGGCTAAGTCGACTATGGCTGGATCAGGCCTCAAAAAAGTTGTTTCCTTCGCCTAGGCCCCAAATGTGATGATCCAAATATCCTTTCTAACCATCTTGATGATAAAAACATGGTGGAGGAGTCCATTATGCACTTTGGACACTTTTGAATGTCAACATATGTCCCCTATTTTTAGTCAAGCTTCCGTACTAAAAACACCTTCGTCAGACTCAAACTCAATTTCTTTTTTGAGATGACAAATTATGTTTTCTGCCTTCACTGATATCTTCTGTTTGCTGTTATGAACTTTCCAAAGTGATGTCATTAGCTGTTTCAGTCAAATTCTTGCATATGCACCAATCAATCAGTTGTCACCATCCATAATCTTTTCTTATCTTAATTTGAAATTGGGCTTGGTACAGCCAACATCTAGCCTCTGTGTTCACTCCAAAGCAAAATATAATTAATGAATTCAGCCTCTCTACAAGTCTGAATTACCATGTTGCTAAAATAGACTAAATGGTCGAACTCCCAAACACCATCACTTGACAATAAGATGCATTAAGGTGGTAAGCTTCAACTGGGCATCAACATCCTGAATTCAAGCATCTCAAAGGCAAGCATTGGGCAAAAAGTCAATTAAATCATTATTGATCATAATACTATTGCATGCCAATTGCTAAAAACTTTTATCAACTTTAGCACTTGGATTACTTAAATAATCCATAATGGAAGTTCGAAATGAGCCGATTTGGGGCCTCACTAGACAAACAGGCCTGGCTGGCCCTGGTAGTCGGCTTAGCCGACCCTACAACACGGCTAGGCCGACTCTGGGAGTCGGCTGAGCCAATTCTGTTGTTCCTACATACAAAACAAATGAATTTTCTTGCATTGGCTTTTCTTTGATGTGAAATTTATGTCCACCGACGCCAAAGCCAGATGCTTGTTGAGCTAACATATTGGCCCTCAAATCCTCAGGCCTTAGAATATGCCGAATTCAAAATTCAACAAATGTATTAATAATGTCAAGGCACATATCAAGACACATATCAAATGGTGACCCCTTTAAATCATGGAAACTTGCTAGCCACTTGCTATACCACCAGTAAGGAATCACCAAAGGCCTTAACATGTTTCACCTCCATATAATGCAATATTTCCAAGCTGAATAAAAGAACTTCACATTCGGCTTAAATGCTGGTGCAAATGTAGTTTTAATCGACTTGATATCTCAAACAGTACCATTGTGAGAAATAACGACTATGCCAACACCTTGGCCCTTTTGGCAAGCCGATTAATTGAAATAAAGCCTCCATGGGGTAGAAAATAGGTAATTGATCTCATCTCCTAAATCAATTCCATGCTCAACAATCAAATTGAAGAGGATTTGACATTTCAAAATACTCAATGGCTCAAGAGCCAAATCATAGTCAATTAATCCGTATGCCCATTCACCAATCCTTCTACTAAGGATTGGCCGATGTAACATGTGCTTAATAACATCGGCCTAGCAAGCCATCACGCGTGTACTAGATCAATTAATGTTTCAATTCAGCACATGCATAGTACAGCGCTAAGCATAATTTAAAGCATGGGCATACCTTATCTTAGGAACAAGAAGACATCAACCAACATGGATGATAGCATATCCTTTTCTTTTGTCTTCTTGAGTCAACACAACACCAATACACCCTCTTCGACAACAACATATAATGTGAATAGAGCTCCACTCCTAGATGCACGAAGAACCGGTGGTGTTGATAGAGAATTCTTGAAAAGCGTGATTAACTTATTTATAATCAGCTTCTAAATTTGTCCTTCATACGTCGGCCACGGTCTAATGTTAAACCCAACACCAATTGGCTCACATGGGTTGGCCGACGCAATCCCCTGTCTAAACCAAATTTACACTACATAATGATATGGAGCCGATCATCAATTGGCTCTAGAGAAATGGGAACAAAGCCTCCTCTAGTGACTCAAAACCAGCAAGGTCCCTCCCTGACAAGCAAATCATATCATCATGCCCCCCAAGCAAAGGGGCATCGGCCATGGCATAGGCCGATGAGTCTGCGTAGATGATCTCAACTTCAATATTCACCCACTAAATGAGGAATTGGTGCAAGCTAGAAGGCATACATCGATTGCCATGAATCCATTCATGCCCAAGAATCAAACTGTAGCTCCCTTGCACCTCTGCAATGAAGAAGATGGTGGTCATTGTTTTGCTCCTGATGGTAAGCTTCATCAAAGCCAATCCCCTGGCCAGAATAGGTTTTCCTCCAACACCTTTGACCATCCTCTTTGTCTTAATCAACTCCTCATTAGATCTACCAAGCTTATTATAAAGTGAATACGGCATTAGATTCGCCATGGCTTCATTATCCACCAACATGTTGTTGACTAGTTTTCCATTAATGAAGCCCTTCACATGTAGTGGCTTGAGGTGATTCACGTGGTCTGCTAGCTTCTAGAAAATAGCTTGACCTCTAGAAAGCTTCTCAACACCAGCAGGGACCATATCAACAACAATGGGAACCGAATCAACTGGAGATACCCCGATGGCACCTAGGCCTAAGAAAATCGGCTCAGCTGACGCTGAAGTCGGCTTAGCCGACTTAGGGTCAGCCAGGGCAGCAAGTACAGGGGGAGTCAGCTCTACCAACTTTGAGCAGACAGCTGGTTCTTTCTTGTTTGAATGAGGGAAAATTGGATCCTTGTTGAAGATTTCTTTCCCCATCTTTATTAGTCCTTCTTCCTTAAGTTTCTTGCAACGAGCACGTTGGACTTTGCGCTTTTGTGTTCCCAACAAACCTGAAGGGCATAATGTCGGTTGGAAGTTCTCAAGAGCCGATGTGCTAATCCGGGCTTCATGATTATTAACATCAGCAATCTTTGATATCTTCTCCACATTAGATTGGTCTAGATCATCAATGACAATTGGCCCTTCACTTTCTTTGATTAGAGTACCTACAGGGCCGATTTTGATGACTATTTGCTTATCGGCCTTTCTTGTGGGATTAACTAGAACTTCCTTGTCCCTCAACACATATACTTGCTTTGCTGATGTCTTACCCTTTTATTGGACCTGATTAGCAAGTTTAACCAAAACAGGCTTAATCGGTCCTACCTTGCTGGAGCTTGATTGGTCGTAGCTCATTCGGCTCTGAGGGACACATCGTTGCTCATTGTGAGCTACACCAGCACACATCCTCCATCAATGAGGATTCTGACGTATTAATGGTTTAGAAATCAACACTCTATCTTTACATGTGTGCTGCAATTTTTGTTTGCAGCTAGCTTGACCGATTTGGGGAATCGGTCTTGCTGATTTTTTCTGTCCACCAACATTAAAATTAGTTTGGCCGACTTTTAAAGCCGGCCTAATCAATCCTCTTTGAACAATAGTGTTAGTGGCTGATTTCTGCTTGTCCACGGGAGTTTGGGCTTGCCCCTAAGCCCAGAAGATTTGATAGTGATATTAAGGCTCTTTCGATTATCATTGGACTTTTCTAGCACTACCTCACGATCTAAAACTTTCTTTTCCTTCTTAGGTTCTCTAGACTCACCGATTATCACATATTTTCCAATATTGCAATCGGCTTGCTTCGGCCATATCAAGATGGTTGGATTATTGATCTCCAGAGTTTCAGCCATGGAAAGTGTCTTTTTGCAGGGCAAAGGATGTGCATCTCCGTCATGCGTACCTTGCATGTCTAACTTTTCCTCTTTTGATTTCCAAAACTGATTAATAAATTTTTGTGAATTGGATTGGGAGGCATCACATGAAGCCTCAGGCATTGGAACCATACTTGATGACTTTGGAGAGTCAGACAACACCGTAATATGAGGCAATGAAGCATGCAGTGTTGCTGTCTCGTCATCGGTTCGAGAGGTATGAACCGAATTCGACGTGTATGTAGCAGCAGGAAGGATAGTAATAACCCCTCCTGAATTGGTCCTATCGGTTTTAGATGCCGAAGAGACCAATTCGGGTTTCTTCCTAAAAATAATCTTGCCATATTGATCAATATAACAGTAGGATAGCCTCTTACTAGGAGGTATAGTGGTAGCCCCACCTGAATTGGCCCCATCGGTTTTAGGCGCCGAAGAGATCAATTTGGATTGACTCTTTGATATCAACCTGCCATGCGGGTCAAAATAATAGTAAAACGGCCTCTCATATTGAGGTTGACTAAAAGCCGGGGCCGATTCACTAGTATGTCCAACATGAGGTGAAGTAGTAATAGAAGTACCAAAGATTCCTTCCTCTAACTTATTAAATGAAGAATTCATCTTAACCATACTATAGAAAAGAGGAGAATCTTCAGTAATCCCATGTACCTTTAGCTTAGCTATGGTTGTAGACCTTACGAGGATCTCCTAACCCATCAGATCGGTGAACTCGCCGCTACGACCGTTGTTCCACATCTTGATAAAAGGAGATCAAGACCAGATGCTATCGGCCTTTTGGGCCAGATGCAATGGTAATGATAAACACAAGAAGGATAGATTGGAACCAATAAATTTCCTAGGTTAGAAAGATCGGCTATATGAGATAGCCGAACCAATCGTTTCCCAATGGAGTCGCCAAAAATTGTGTTAACGCTCAATTAGGTCACACACTCGATAAGGAGCTAGACCAGACAAAATCGCCGAAGCAGACACCTAGGTCAGCTAGGCTGACTTCCATGGGCCTGGAGCACTGCTTTCAGGCCAAAAACAGCGAGAGTCGGCTTAGCTGACTAGGTGACTCAGCTAAACCGACTGGCACTGGAAATTCCAGGTGAAAATCTTTCAAAATTCATAATTAATTCATCGGGACTCCAAATCAGGCGAACCATATATGTTTTTCGATCAGCTCGATGAGAGGAACGCAACGGTGACGTCCGTTCTTGCATTTGAGGAAGTTGGTCAAGTCAGCTTAGCGGACTACTCTGGCTGGATCAGGCCCCGAAAAAGTTGTTTTCTTTCCAAAATTCATAATTAATTCATCGGGACTCCTAATCAGGCGAACCATATATGTTTTTCGATTAGCTCCACGAGAGGAACGCAACGGTGAAGTCCATTCTTACATTTAAGGAAGTTGGTCATGTCGACTTAGCCATATTAGGGAGTCGGTTAAGCCGACTCTAGCTGCATCAGGCATCGAAAAAGTTGTTTCCTTCGTCCAGGCTCCAAATGCGATGATTCAAGTATCCTTTCTGACCATCTTAACGATAGAAACATGGTGGAGGAGTCCATTATACACTTTGGACACTTTTGAGTGTCAACAGGTGGAATTCTCTCAAAAGCTTGTTATATTAGTAGTACTTTGTTAGCATGCCAGGAAGAAACTAAGGTCGCTCAATGAGCCTCTGGGACCAAAATATGTGTGAACGCGACCAAAGACTAACTCACACAAGTCTCGGGCAGCAGGTTGAGAACAATGCAGAGCGTTGATTAACTTATCGTACATGCAGGTGCAGGAGAACGGTTCCAGTCTTCTAGACTACCAGTGCTACCAGGCCATTCCTCGCTAGTACCGTATTAAAAATGGCTATATGCACGCCGCGCCCGATAGTCTGGCCTGAAGTCTGGTTTTTTGGCCAGCCCGAGCATAGCATGGCACAGTGGCCAGCATGCCCGCACCAGACCAGCCTGATCCAACATGCCGTGCCTAGGCCGCTAGGCACGTTGAATCAGAGGCGGGCGCAGGATTTGGACCATGGGTATTGAATATTGCAGATGGCAAGAAAAAAAATTTGACAGCCTAAATTATAGTTTTATAACATAGAATTAAGTGGCATCATCATTGATTAATAAAATTGATCACAACTTGAAATTGTCCAGCTACTAATGATCAACATCTCAAAGTGGCAACATGTGAAATAAATAGAGGATAAAACAGCAAAATGGTAACAAATCTTACAACTTACAAGTTATAGGATAACTTTCGATCCTTAATGCTTTGAAAATGAGCGATGATGTCCTTATCCTTAGCTTGCATGAAGAATTCCCTTTCAATCAATGTGACCAAGCAACCATTCAAATATTTATGCCCCATCTTGCCTCTTCTCTTGTTCTTTATCAAATTCATTATAGAAAAGACCCTCTCAACACCAGCAGTTGCAACAGGGAGAACAAGCACCAATTTGAGAAGTTTATAAACAATTTCACATCGAGCAACCTTTCCTTGTTTAACTAGCATCATAGACAACTCTACTAGACTTCTCAAATTTTTGAAGTTTTCATCATTTCTGACATCATTGATATAGTGGTGCAACTGAAAATGAAGCTGGTTCATTTCTTCAAATTCAAAGTCATGTGGATAGAACCCAGCAAGCTTAACCAAGTTCTCAACATTAAAAGCAGCAAATGAATTGGCTAGACTGAATGATGCCATGCATCTAAGTAGCTCTGTGTTTACCTCATCAAACCTATTATTAAGCTCTTGAACTTGCCTATCAATGACACCAAAAAACATATCAGCATGAAACCGATGATAATTAATGGCACCTCTATAGAACTGCTTTGATCTTTGCATAGGAATATACTTCCCATTCATGTCAACAACTTTAACATTGTGCTTCTCACAAAAAAGAAGTGACCTTGGTAAGGAATTCTTGCCATCCAGAATCTTGTCTCAAAACATCCAGTTCTACCTTTGTGAACTCCAGAAGATCCATTGCATTTATGATATCTTGCTCCCTCTTTTGCAAAGCATTACACAAGTTATTTGTGTATCCAAATATTTCATTCATCAAGTGTAGCAGGAAAACAAACTCAAAGGACTTAAATATTGTGAGCATAGTTTGAGCTCCATTAGCCTCAGCCCCTTTACTTTCATTCCAATCCTAAAGAGAACTTTCTTGATTGAAGGATACAAGAACATAACATGCATTATAGTTCTATAGTGAGATCCCCATCATGTATCACCTGGCCTTGCTAAGCCGATCTCTTGATTCAATCCTTGCTCGGTTTTAATTTCACCCAATTTCAATGTTTCAATCATGTATTCAGCTTGAGTAACGTGAAGCATGTCGATCTTTTTACAAGACATCCCTAGAACATTCAACAAATATGAAAGTTGCCCAAAGAACCAATCACAATCGGTATTCTCCTTAGCAACTGCTACAAGTGTTAGTTGAAGTTGATGGGTGAAGCAATGAACATAATAAGCAGAAGGGGACTCATCCATAATTAGTTTCTTCAAACCATTAACATGACCCTTCATATTACTAGCTCCATCATACCCTTGACCACATACCTTGGATAGGGGCAATTGATATTTGATAAGCAAGGACTGAATTGCTTCTTTAAGAGTCAATGATGTAGTATCTTCAACTTGGACAAGACCTAGAAACCGCTCAACTAGTTCTACTTTTGTATTGACAAAACACAAACAAAGAGCCAATTGTTCCTGTAGGTATGCATCACTTGACTCATCAGCAAGAATTGCAAAACACTCATCACCAAGTTCGTCTATGATAAATTTGGTTGTTTCATGAGCACAAGCATCAATAAGTTGTTTCTAGATCTTGTGATCTATCATCTGACAGTTTTGTGGTGCATTCTCTAGTACCACCAGATTAACCTCTTCAAAGTTTCCTGCCAGCCATGCTAAAAGTTCCCAAAAGCTCCCTTTGTTGAGTGAATCCTTTGTTTCATCATGACCACGAAAAGCCAATCCTTGACGCAATAGAAATCTTATGCACTTAAGTGACCATGTCAAGCGAGCTAGATACTTAGCCTTGAACT